TATGACCCTTGTTTTATGTCTCAGCACCAATGTATTAAATGTGATAAAGGAAGAATCACTGTTTAAAGTAGATTATGACCCTTGTTTTATGTCTCAGCACCAATGTATTAAATGTGATAAAGGAAGAATCACTGTTTAAGGTAGATTATGACCCTTGTTTTATGTCTCATCACCAGGGTATTAAATGTGGTAAAGGAAGGCTCACTGTTTAAGGTAGATTATGAACCTTGTTTTATGTCTCAGCACCAATGTATTAAATGTAGTAAAGGAAGGTTCACTGTTTAAGGTAGATTATGAACCTTGTTTTATGTCTCAGCACCAATGTATTAAATGTAGTAAAGGAAGGCTCACTGTTTAAGGTAGATTATGACCCTTGTTTTATGTCTCATCACCAGTGTATTAAATGTGGTAAAGGAAGGCTCACTGTTTAAGGTAGATTATGGCCCTTGTTTTATGTCTCATCACCAATGTATTAAATGTGATAAAGGAAGGATCACTGTTTAAGGTAGATTATGACCCTTGTTTTATGTCTCGGCACCAGTGTATTAAATGTAGTAGAGGAAGGTTCACTGTTTAAGGTAGATTATGGCCCTTGTTTTATGTCTCATCACCAGTGTATTAAATGTGATAAAGGAAGGATCACTGTTTAAGGTAGATTATGACCCTTGTTTTATGTCTCGGCACCAGTGTATTAAATGTGGTAAAGGAAGGATCATTGTTTAAGGTAGATTATGACCCTTGTTTTATGTCTCGGCACCAGTGTATTAAATGTAGTAGAGGAAGGTTCACTGTTTAAGGTAGATTATGGCCCTTGTTTTATGTCTCGGCACCAGTGTATTAAATGTGGTAAAGGAAGGATCACTGTTTAAGGTAGATTATGACCCTTGTTTTATGTCTCATCACCAGTGTATTAAATGTGGTAAAGGAAGGATCACTGTTTAAGGTAGATTATGACCCTTGTTTTATGTCTCATCACTAGTTTATTAAATGTAGTAAAGGAAGGATCATTGTTTAAGGTAGATTATGACCCTTGTTTTATGTCTCATCACTAGTTTATTAAATGTAGTAAAGGAAGGCTCACTGTTTAAGGTAGATTATGACCCTTGTTTTATATTATCTGTCTACAAGGTTGTTTAAGTTTATGATATTTTGTCTCACAGTTACATTATCTATTTTTAAAACATTTGTACAATATTTCTATCAGATATGCGAGGCTTCATGGGACCACGAGGACTTCCTGACACAGCTCGTGCTGCTCGTTTCATTCTGAAGGATTTTGTCAGTGGAAAACTTTTATACTGTAACCCACCACCAGGGGTAGAAAGATCAGACTACCAAAAATTTCCTCCACCACAACCAAGGAATACTTCCAGGGAGATAACGCCACATCAACTTCGTGTGATGAAGGTTAGAAGCTTGTGTAAAGAGTTAATTTCAAATTGCTTAAAAAATAAAAATGAACATTTTTGTTTGTTTAGTATTTACTGTAATAACAACAGTGGTAGTTGTTTTACTGCTGTTTTTGTCAGTAGTTTACTTAGATGTGCTAGCTTTCTTATTGCATGTGGAATTTGTCCTTACCTTTGTTATATTGAAGAAATACTATGTGACAACTTTAATTTCTTTTACTTACAAAGAAATTATTATGTTTTTGATGAAGAAATACATTCAATAATGATAAGCGTGATTTGTCTTCATAAATGGTTATTAAAATCGTTGACATCTGGTAGAAGTTCAACCAGCAGTCATAATGAAATTGTTTTAACTTTGAACCTAGGTGTATTGATTCAACAAATCTGGATTTAAAAGAACTACCAGATTAAATAGTTTGAACTTGAAGCTTTGAAAGTTTTCATTGTGGTGTTTTTTAAGAAACAATTTAAAGTGCTTACCTTTGTTGTATATTTTAAAACTTACCTATAAAGTTTGTACCCTAACGGATCAGTGATGAGTTTACAGAGTTATGATGCTAAGCCTAAGGGTTAATCCTCCATGGTATGGATATCCTTTTGTGCTAAAAATAATAAATATGAAAAGTTTTTTATTTTATAAACTGGAACAATTATCTTTGTTTTGACGTGAAAAACACCTCACTTGTAACTCACTGTAATAATGGATTTATACGTAGCACCACTTGCCAGACATGATAATGGATCAGATCCATATTCTTACAGTTATAGAACTTCAGAGGTGAATCAATACGTGCCTCAACTTTCCTCAACATACGTGCCTCAACTTTCCTTGTAATACATCTACAAGGACATGTGATATGACTATATAATTTTAAAATGAATGCTTTAAAGCAAGGTTACGAGTTATTTTATTTGTGTTGTTTAAAGAGACTTAATTATTTAATCTCATTAATAAATAAATGGACAACAACTCAACAAGCCCCGATTAGTTAGATCTGTGGTTTAAAAATAACATTGTTTGATTTTTTATTTTTAAATAACATTGACTTGTTTTTAAATAGCATTGTTTGACTTTTATTTTTAAATAACATTGTTTGGCTTTTATTTTTAAATAACAATGTGTGACTTATTTCTAAATAGCATTGTGTGACTTTTATTTTTAAATAACATTGCTTGACTTATTTTTAAATAACATTGCTTGACTTATTTTTAAATAACATTGCATGACTTATTTCTAAATAACATTGTGTGACTTCTATTTTTAAATAACATTGTTTGACTTTTATATTTAAATAACATTGTGTGACTTATTTTTAAATAACATTGTGTGACTTTTTAAATAACATTGTTTGACTTTTATTTTTAAATAACATTATTTGACTTTTATTTTTAAGTGAAAAATGTTGAACTTGTTTTCCTCTTTCTTTCTTCCTTTTTGCAATGGTGAAGTTTAGTTTTAAAACATTAAATTAATCATTTGCTGTTATTTTTTATTTTTACAAACATGGAATCTACGCCTGTGTCTTAACCTATCAGCTTAATGTTAATTCAATAGAACTGTTTATATGGGTTTCAGTTTCTTTAATGAGCCATTCATTATTCTACATAATATGTATAACTTGTGTGGTTAAACCTTTTATCAGTTTCTTTAGTTGATAACCAGGTATTTCAGATAACTTAAGAATGGTACAAATAAATCATACAAAAGATCTATAATAGTTTTTCATGGACATTTGTAATATTTACTAAATTTTATTTACATTAGTTGTTGTATTGTCTTATATTTCTGTCTTTTACGCAGAGTGATCGTATCACAAGTAAAGAAATCGACAGCGAATTCTTTAGAAAGGTTTGATTTTTATTTAAATACTAACTTATACGTTACTAAACTTATTAAATACATTTTTCTTTAATAACTTTTATTAGTTTTGTGTGTTTAAAACTGGTTTAAAGCAGGTGGAAACTGAAGTTACGTAACAACACCATGGCTGTAACAACAAAGAGTTTTTAATTGGATGTCTCAGATTGCATTGTGGTCAACGAGCTATAATCCAAACATGTTAGTGTAATATAAAACACAGGAATGGCAGTTTAAGTATATTCAGTAAAGACGAACATTAAGATCTGTAATTTAGGACAGTTAAAATTCATAACGTTGATCGTTATATAATAGCTGGCATTCATCTTTGAATCCTTATTCACTAATATTACACTCGAAGAAGCAATTGAAAGAATTCTAAACAGCCTTAATGAAAACAAACTATACTATAGTTTTAACTGCCAACAACTTCAACAGCTGTTTAACTCTTTGTGCACAGGTGGGATTCAAAGTGCAAGACCTTCTACAGAGTGCCATTCGACATTATATTATTTATTTAACGTCAGGGTTATCAACTGTTTTTTTGGCCCTACGTTGCTAATTTAGTGGCAGTTAGGGTAAAGGAGAACAAATACCAGATACATCGTATATATGTATGCCGAGAAAAACTACTGGTATGAATTTAGAAGGTTCTAGAGGTTATATAAATAGAATTTTCAAACTGTACGTTGGACAAAAGTATTTTTATTCTTCACACGAACATCATCTTCACTCTGACTTGTCAGAATCTGAGTCAGACTGGTGTCTTCAATTTACAGACATATCTTGAGGACAGATACTTTTGTAACACATCTGATTTCTAGTGTACAACAGACTTTTACAGTTCACTGAAAGTTTGACGCATTTTGTGTAGATACGTGTGTTAACTTCAGATTTGTAGTTAACATTCCCTCTCTAATAAGGAGTTGGTTCAATGGACATTTGGTTAAACATTCCCTTAGGGACCATCACACTGTCTTGAATGGCCAAATATATATTATGGTAGTGTGGTCACCTTCAGGCCTGACACTAACAAACATATTTGTCACCATGAGCTTGTGACCCATGGGTTACAAACCATCTTCATACAGAAGATACGTTGAACACACTCGTTTCCACAATATTGAATAGCTCAAAATATTTCTAGTGTACTTAGAATCTCATCATTCCTGTATCAATTTTTTCTTTGAAATAGAACAAAATTATCATTTCTGTATATTAAGGCAAGCAAACTAACAAACAGATTTACAGTTTATTGACATTATTCTGTACTCTTCAAAACATAACCCTGTGTCAAATGTTCAATAACAGTGTTCAACATTTCTTCTGTCTCTCTATCCATTATGAAATAACCTCTTTATAAAACAATTGTTATTCTTAACATTCTTTTCAAACCATAACATGTAAATTCCTGTCAAATGAAATAGTCCTTCAGACTCTCCAATACATGTATGCATGCCAAAAACAGTAATCAACCTCTCTACGTAAGTAATTTCAAAAAATCATAATGTCATGTGAACTGTTAAGTGAGACCAGATAAGGCTACTGTTTGGATAGCATTGTACTATCATGTGAACTGTTAAGTGAGACCAGATAAGGCTACTGTTTGGATAGCATTGTACTATCATGTGAACTGTTAAGTGAGACCAGATAAGGCTACTGTTTGGATAGCATCGTACTGTTATGTTGAACTGTTAAGTGAGACCAGATAAGGCTACTGTTTGGATAGCATCGTACTGTCATGTGAACTGTTAAGTAAGACCAGATAAGGTTATGAACAATAAATTGAAGAGTACGTAGTAACTGACAAGATTGTTTAACTCTTAGGAGGATATGATTAAGAGAAGTGCATTGCAATATGGGAAGTAAAATATTAATAAGGAATACAACACATAAATTAATAGCTTTAAATCCTGTATTTCTTTTAGCATATAAAAATTGATACAAACGTTTCTCTTGTGAGATAACAAATCCTTCTTTATTATCGAGAAACAACTGAACTAATTGATGCCATATTTGTAGAAATAACTGGAACAACTATCCTTCTGTCGAGTGCTGTATCTATCTCCAACTAGTATTCTCTGATTTTTAACCCTCCCTAACTTAAATACTTGTTTTTGTGGGAAACGGTACTAGGAACAAAAGTATTAATATTTACTATGCTAAGACATTGTGTCATTTAATAATTTTATCCAACAAATGTTTACTATTAGCTTGGTTTCTTTGGAGAAGTGATAAATTTAGTATGAACCTTTTCCTTAAGTTTTCCTAGTGGATCCCATGGCAATTTTTTCTGTACAAGAGTCGGACGAGAATCAGGTTCCCAGAAACATGTTTACCTGGAAGAAAAGCACAAACTCTGTCCACCTTTGTAGCATGATAGACTTATTTTATGGAGCTCTATCTGAGTAAACATCCTCTTCAACAAGTTACTGATATCAAGTTTGGTTTAATGACCTCAACAGGAACTTGTGTATGGTTTCCATCAGCCTTCTACCATACTAAATGTTTATCTCAGTAAACATCTTCACTAATAAGTTACTGATATCAAGTTTGGTTTAATGACCTCAACAGGAACTTGTGTACCATACTAGATATCTCACTAAACATCCTCATCAACAAGTTACTGATACCCAGTTAACCTTATGCTCATTAAGTTCCTGTGTTGGATATTTTACATGAATTCCTTAAGACACGTTCCTTTCAAGTGTACTTTTTATCAAGGTTATTACTACAAATCTTATTCTAGGCATTCAGTGCTTGACATTTTCACACCAGATGGAGTAGTAATTGGCATATCTAGAAGTGTGGCTAACCAGTTAGGACTTGTTATGTATAATTGTTCGTTATTCATCCAGTGTTCGATGAAATGTTAACTTTACTATCATTGGTAATATAACTTCAATAATTTTTCTTAACTTACTTCTTTGAATTTTTAACTCATTCTGAGGTTTACCAGGATTATCTAAGAAAATTGTTCAGTAATAAATGAATTTCAAATCCTAAGTAATATCCCGCTATTTCTGTTTTAAATTTACAATATTTCCCTTCCACCCAGTTAAAAGTGTACGTAGTTCTACCTGTAATTGTCATATTGCTATACTTATGTGTATGTACGTTGCTATTCCTGTATTGTTTATCATATTATGTTTCCGTTAGTTCTTTATTTTGCTGGAACTTGTAAATTCTGAAACGTCTGATTATAGAAATGTTTGTTTCTAAAGCCATAGTTTTTTGTTTTTCATTATTAGCACTTATGTTGAGCAGATTTATTCATAAATATTTAGTAAAATAATAGCGTCACATTTAAGTATTTATAATATGGACGTTTTAAGTTTCATACAGTCACAAATTATGACTGATGGAAGAAAGTTCAAGTTTTTACATTTGTAACTTAAGTTCATATACAGAGCTAATCTTTACATTTTATTTCTGTATAATCAGGTGAGTCTTCAAGCCCACAGTAAAGGTGTACTTTCCAAAGCACCACCTTCGAGTGAGACTCAGAAGCCTTGGAAGAAACATAATAATAAAAACAAAAAATTAAAACTGAGGAAGGTTTATGCTGATTGTGACCAATGACGTACAAGTTGTCGTTTCTGGAGATAACCTTGCTTGTATATAAAAGAATATAAATAAAGTCTTGATATGGAAATATTAGAGAAGTAATAACTTGAGATAATGGTAACAAGTTGGCCTTGAACATTTCATTTTAAAATAGAAATATTCTACAATATGTTACATATTACGTATGATTTAAGAAAAACAAGGGACCTGTTGATTCATCTAGACTGTGCCATCCACTAAACCAAATTGTAAAATGAAAATAAGACACAAAGCCATCTGTTATCATTCAAATATTTATAAAGCCTTCATCTAAACTCCCTTACGTTAACTGTATCCGACATATTGGAAGGCAACCCATCCCAAAAGCCAACCACCCTGTTAGAAAAATATAGCTGTCTTAGCTAAAGATGACTTTCCAAATAATCTTCTTCTTTTTTTTTTTTTTGTAAAGTAGTAGTATCCTCCTTATAGCCAGCAAACACCCAAACCCATATCATCAGCAAGTTTAAGTAACTTATTGATCATTCCTTCATCTATGTTATTTATTTGAATAAAAAATAAAGAAAGCCCTTAACAGTGAGCCCCGAGTTACTGAACTGTGACATTAATCCAGTTTGACTGAACTCCACTTATAACAAACCTTCCACCCAGACAACCTATCCTCCATACCTACAGAGATAATTTTTCAACAAGACCTTTATGTGACACCTTATCACAAGTTTTCTGAATACACCTGTACCTTCATCTACATAAGCTTTAATTTCTTCAAATTATGTCGAAAGTTTAGTAAGCCTAAGATTTTCAAAAACTTTATCAACCACTGATGAGACAATTATCACCTCCCTTGAAAAGCACCCCCCCTGTGGACTTGTAGTGCTAGAAACCAGGTTTCGATACCAGTGGTGGACAGAGCACAGATAGCCCATTGTGCTTACATTAATATTGATCATTAAACGAGAGAGAAATATAGATGCAAATCTCACAAATTCAAAATAAATTCAAGTAACTACAATCAATTCATGACAGTGTTAAGACATCACTTTATTCCATATTTCACCTATTTTTTTATGTAGCATCCTTATTATGGAACTTTTAATTCACCAGCAGTGGGAATATGTTGTTTGTAAATTATAATCTGGTGGAGTACTGGTATATTAATACATAATTTACAAATGTTTGGTAACTTGAGAAAAACCTTAAAATACATAAATGACTAAATTCAGATATCTGTTTATTTTATCAGTGTTTCACCATTTTCTTAATGTTCAGCCCAGCTCAAGAAAAACTGTAATATTAGAATAAGTTTGAAATGAAACGGTTCTTGGCTACAGCTCTACCTGTCATATCCCAGCCAGACTGAAGAACCCTGATATTAAATGAAAGACCTCATTGATACTGGATATAGTAGATTTAGTGTAGTTGACATGACATTATATTCTTTATAATTACACAAGTGTTAACAAATATTTCTATATAATATGTTGTACAGATGAAAACTATACAACAATTCGAAATTAGGGAAACACCAATGTTGTAGCAATAATAAAATATCTATTAAACCTCTGTCCATTTGTGGGGGTCAAAGTGTACATGGTCTTTTACAGAGTTAAATTCAAAGTTATAAATTCATGATTTCAAAAGTAAATATTAAAATAAATACTCAGTCTTCACATCTCTGTGTTTACTCCAAATTTAAATATTCTTACTACTGCTGCCCCCCAGTGGCACAGTGTTATGTCTGCGGACTTACAATGCTAGAATCCGGGTTTTGATACCCGTGGTGGGCAGAGCACAGATAGCCAATTGTGTAGCTTTGTGCTTAATTACAAACAAACAAACTTACTACTGCTATTCAAGTTTAACATGAATTACACATTATGGTATAGACATTTTATAGCCTTCAATCTTCTTCCTTTACTGAGATATAAACCAGGAATCCAAGCGGACATGCCACACCCTTCTTTCAAAAAATGTTCTCTATGACATTTACTGTTGAGTTTTATAACCAGTAGGAAAAAAAAGTTTCGAGCTATTCTTCCTACAGATCCGATATCTCTGTTGTCGAGGTAACCTCAATTAGGTAAGGAAATTATTGAAGTCCACTTATAGCCAGTTAAATTATAATAGTTTTAGGACATTGTATTTTTTTGCATGTTAATATTTTGTGTTCTTATTTGCATACTTGAAATAAATAAATTGTTACAAAAAAGTAGGATTAAGTTTCATTGGAGTTATATAGCAAACAAAACGAGAGACAGACCTAAGTACTAAATTTCATGTTGTTTTTTTATATTTATTATTGTAAAAGTAAAAGGCAAAAGTTAGAAACTTTTTAAGTTAAATAAAAAAATTTCAAAAATTCAATAAAAAATTTCTTGGTGAGGTATGCATGTGGCTCCTCTTTGCTTGTTACATAATTTGATATTTTGTTTAACATAAGGAGCTATCTTTTCACGGGATGTAAATTGTTAGGAGTCTTAGACTGTTTGGGATAAATATTTGTAATTTTCTGTTGCAATCTACATTCATTCTAGAAATAAACATTTCATGTTTTTTGTGGTGGTTACGATGTCTGTCAAACTGACTTGAGTGAATATAGTGTTAGGGGAAATTAAATTTCAAATTGGTAAGATGAGAAAAAGTATTTTTCTTCTTAACATGAGAATCACCTTGCACTCAGCTTATTCTGAATCAACTAAAATAAATGTAGTTGAAGTGCCTTTTAACATGAAAATCACCTTGCACTCAGCTTAGTCTCAGTCAACTAAAATAAATGTAGTTGAAGTGCCTTTTAACATGGATTTTCATGTTAAAAGGCACTTCAACTACATTTATTTTAGTTGATTCAGACTAAGCTGGGTGCAACGTGATTTTCATGTTAAAAGGCACTTCGACTACATTTATTTTAGTTGACTCAGACTAAGCTGAGTGCAACGTGATTTTACCTTGCACTCAGCTTAGTCTGAGTCAACTAAAATAAATGTAGTTGAAGTGCCTTTTAACATGAAAATCACCTTGCACTCAGCTTAGTCTGAATCAACTAAAATAAATGTAGTTGAAGTGCCATTTAACATGAAAATCACCTTGCACTCAGCTTAGTCTGAGTCAACTAAAATAAATGTAGTTGGAGTGCCTTATTAAAAATGAAGTCTTGTGTACAATATGCCATGTTTACCAAACTTCATTATATACAAAGTTAATTCAGAAGTATTATAAACATTAATTCTCCATTACGGACTTAGTCCAATAGACTGATTCCGTACGCTTAGGGTTAAATAGACTAATCTTGATTTAGGGGTTTAGGTTTCCCTATATATTTTGCTTCTGTATATTTTCTATCTAGGATAGTCTGTTTTAGCTGTAATTTCTTGGTGGGTAACCCATGTTCTTACTTTAGTTTATGTACTGAAACGTAGTTCTCTTCCAGTTCACCACATGTTGCTTTACAAACATAGTTGCTGTTATTGGATCGTTATGATCTCCATTGTTTTATTTTATTTTTTGCTAAGTCTTATTTAAACCAAAAAAAAAACGTAGATGAAAATAGAATAATTTCTACAGTCACCTGTTACCATTGAGATATTTTGATGTGAAGATTTAGTTTCTTAACTATCAGTTTTAAAGTACTTGCACATGTCTATATCTGTGGTTTTATCTAATTTAGAAATATTAATGTCTATATCTGTGGTTTTATCTAATTTAGAAAGATTTATATCTATATCTGTGGTTTTATCTAATTTAGAAAGATTTATGTCTGTATCTGTGGTTTAATCTAATTTAGAAATATTAATGTCTGTATCTGTGGTTTAATCTAATTTAGAAAGATTTATGTCTATATCTGTGGTTTTATCTAATTTAGAAAGATTTATATCTATATCTGTGGTTTTATCTAATTTAGAAAGATTTATGTCTATATCTATGGTTTTATCTAATTTAGAAAGATTTATGTCTATATCTGTGGTTTTATCTAATTTAGAAAGATTTATGTCTATATCAGTGGTTTTATCTAATTTAGAAATATTTATGTCTATATCTGTGGTTTTATCTAATGTAGAAAGATTTATGTCTATATCTGTGGTTTTATCTAATGTAGAAAGATTTATGTCTATATCAGTGGTTTTATCTTAATTTAGAAAGATTTATATCTATATCTGTGGTTTTATCTAATTTAGAAAGATTTATATCTATATCTGTGGTTTTATCTAATTTAGAAAGATTTATGTCTATATCTGTGGTTTT